TCGACGGTAACTCCGTCGCGGCTCCCAGGCCCCTGCCACCGGCCCTGCAGCGGCCCCTGCAGGCCCGGGGCTCCTGCCAGACACACCACAGGGCCCTGGTCCGGCCACCCCCAGCCTGTGGCAACAGGCACAGCCGGGAGCAGTAGCGTTTCCAGGACAGAGCCAGAAGAGGCTCTGGAGCCAACAGACAAGTAAGAAAACACGTAGGACGGGGCTTTTTAGCATGGGAGGCCCTTCAGCCCTGGAGACTGCCCACAAACGCCTGAGCTTTGAGGAGACAAATTAGAACTGACGGGGGCGGGGGGGAGGGCGGGGGGCGAGGCCATTCCCTGTGTCTCCCTGATGACGCAGCCTGGGGATCACAGAACCATAAGGTGGGGTCAGGACGAGGACGCTGCCTCCAGCATGACACTCGGGAACATCCGGCCCATAAACACGCCCTGGGAACCGGATGGTCCCTCCAGGGCAGGGCCTGCCGCGTGCCACCAAGAGTGCTCGCCCGGGGGACGGCGACAGACGTCCCTGAGCCCGGTCCTGCCCGTGCGTAGCAGTGCGGTGAGGCTGCAAGCCGCGCAGCCACCCAGTGCCCCGATGAGACAGCGGGGCCCGAGACCGGGTGGCCCAGTTCAGCCTATCCTAGGCCTCCAGCGCAACTCCGGGGAGCCGGCCACACGACCGCTGTCCCAAGGCGAACCCAGCGGCAAACGCCAAGGGGCCGCGGCCATGCCGGAGCAGCTGCTGGGCAGCGGCGGGACAATGCAGGGTGTGCTAGCAGCGAGCAGCTATTTTTGGGTGGCATGTTGGCTATTTCCAGGTTAGGGCTTCATTTTATTTACTTATTTAACTAAAGAGGAAGTCGAGCTTTCTCACGGCTCACTGCTGTCAAAATGGCGGCTCCGGCGCTGTCAGGGCCCGGGTCACCCCCGCGTGTGTCCGGTCACTCAGGAAGCTTAAGCTGCGAGGAGCCCCGAACGTCAGAGGCTGCGCACAGAATCCCTGCTGGAAACGCGTGTTTCCCGAGCTGCGCCTCGGAAGGACGCCAAGCTGCGTCCTGCAGCTCGCCTCCTGGCTCCTCTGAGGTCGACGCATGGAGCAGCCCCCTCTGGCAGCCCCGGGCCCCCAACAGCCGGGCTCTGGCCTGGACCGGCCCGTGTCCCTGGGAAGCACACACGCGGCGCTGGGTGTTGGTGCCGCAGCAACCGGCCTCATGCCTACTCAGTAACGAAAGGGTCGCTCAGAGTCCAACCCCAGTCTCAGCGCCCTGCAGAGGTGGAGGAAGGCTGCAAGGAGAGCGTGCGAGGCCCATCAGAAAGCAGCGTTTACGGGGCCGCGCGCCCGGCGCCAGCAGCCTGCGCAGGGGGGCCGCAGCCCCTGCAGCCGACAGCCACACGTGCCCGGGGACGTCTCGGGTCACGGCCCTCCCGGCCAGGCCGGGGTCAGGATGACGGCCCCAGTGGACGGGTGCCGGCCAGCGGGGACTGAGCTCACCCCGACCGCTCGGGCAGGCAGGGCGGCAGCCGCGGTGGGGAGGAGGCTTCGTAGGCCTGCCACCAAGGCCGCACGTGGGCAGCTTCAGGAGCAAAGGGGAGCGGAGGCGTGGCTGCCACGGAGAGCGGGAAAATGGCTCTAATTCCTAAGTTCCCTGCTGAGCTGCCTGCTATTCCTTGGGTTTAAATTTCGTTCTGCGAACATCTGTGAAATTCCCAGGTTAAAGTCTGTACATGAGTCACGTGCTACTCGCTAAACTGAGAGAACTTAGTGTTTAGGGTTTTGGTTTTTTTAAAGATTTTATTTATTTTTAGAGAGAAGGATAGGAGTGAGAAAGAGATGGAGAGAAACACCACCCACCTCGTGTACACGCCCCGACCGAGCACAAGCCTGCACCCCGGCCGGGCCCGACCAGGAACCGAACCGCGGGCGACTCGCTTTGCGGAACGATGCCCAGCCCACCGAGCCAGCCAGCCAGGGCTGGTGTTTAGTTGTAAGGCCGGTCTCACTTGTTCTAATAGTCTCCTCTTTAAATATTCTAGTTGAAGTTGCTAACCCAAGTGGAAATATTTAAAGTTTCAACAAACGATGATAGGTTGTTATCTAAAGGATAAATAAGATCTATTTACAATCCTTCAAACTTAAAACAAGGGTCTCAGTGGGTGAAGGAAGCAGTGAAGCTGGAAGCTTCCTTAACGACGCTCAGTGAGATGGAGCCCACTGCCACCGTGTGGGAGAACGCAGGCCGGCAGAGAAACAGTTAACGCTGGCCTCCCGGGGAGGCCACCCCGCCCTGTCCAGAGCACAGTGGGCGGCCCCCGGAGGCCTATAAAGCGGCTCCCAGCGCCCGTGCCGCGGCTGCTGCAGGGCAACCTGCCTGCTGTCGAGACAATGACTGGCAGGCCTCCACGGCCACGCGGGGCCGGCCTGCCGTGAGCGCGTTCCCGAGGCTGCCCCAGGAGACCTCAGAGGACGGGGCGGTCCGCTTGGACACAACAGCAGGCCGAGGCGCAGCGCAGGTGAGTCTGTCCTGGGTTCCGGGATCTGCCCTCGGGCCGGCGAGCAGCCCGCTGCGGGCAACAGCTGGACGCGAGCTAGGGCCGGGTGCGGAGCCTCCGACCTCCAGGCAGGGCTGTGGGCGTGCGGGAGACCCCAGTTTAGCCCCCGCATGCCGGCCTGACGGCATGCGGGGCCTGGCGTGCGGCCCCCTGTCGTGCGGGCTGGAAGCGCCGTCTCCAGACTGCCCCGTGGTGTCCCGGCAGGAGCTGGTGCCCCGCAGGGCAGCCAGGCTGCCCCAGCTCTGCCACCGCACGGCCCTTTGTCCTCTGCCAACAAAACTGTGTGCCGGCCCCAGAAAGTACAGACGATTAATATTCCCTCACAAAGATGCACACCTAGTGGGCCTGAGAGCAATGTGGCCTGCCTGCCTGCCTGCCTTCCTTCCTTCCTTCCTTCCTTCCTTCCTTCCTTCCTTCTGTCCTGCCTGCCTTCCTTCCCTCCCTCCCTCCCTCACTCGAGGACATGCTTATTGATTTTAGAAAGGGGGGAAGGCGGGGAGAAAGAGAGGGAGAGAAACATCGATCGGTTGCCTCAACAGGGGACTGAACCTGCAGCCCAGGCTCGCGCCCTGACCAGGAATCCAACCCGCAATCTGTCGGTTTGTGGGGCGACGCCCAACTGAGCCACCAGGCCAGGGCACGTGGGGTCCTAGTCCCTCAGATGTGCCCAAGCAGGGGGCGTTTAAAAGAAAATGGTACCAAACTGCCCAATACTGACCCTTATGTTTACATCCCCGTGGTGGGTGTTCGTGAGGACCCTGTGTGGGCAGCTCGGATCCTAAGCTCCTGTGCTTTCTCACTGGACCATTACCAGGTTGTGTCAGGGTCAGAGACTCCACTTGCACGGGAAAGCCAAGGGCTCAGTCAGCAGTTCTCCCTCGCAGCCTCTCGAGCCACCACACAGAGAGGCCAGTGGCGCAGTGGCCCCCGCGGCCCCCTGCCCTGTGGGCTCTGGCCACAGCCTGAGACGGGCCCAGATCTCCCCACTTAGCGAGCAAAGCAGAGCCTGAGCGGTGTTTACGAAGAAGCGGAACACGGAGGCTTTAGACAAAACACTGCTGACATCGGCCTTGTCAGCCCCAGCCAAGCACAGGGCATGGCGCATGTTAGAGTAATTACTGACACCGCAGGCATGATTAATCTTTTTCTTTTTCTTTTCCTTTAAGTAGTATTTCCAAGCAATAGTCGATAAATGTCTAGCCTGGTTTGGCAACACTTCAAAAATGGTTACTAATCGCCTCACAGAGTGAAATGAAAGTCTCAAGAAAACAGCTCAAACCCGTTTCGCCGTCAGCACTCTGGCCGCTGGGTTTCCGGGCGGGAGCCGGCCCCGGGGCGTCCTGTGGGACGCAGGGCACCCTCGCTGCTCAGGGCGGCCCAAACCCCAGACATTGCCGGTGCCCCTGGCGACACCAGAGAACGGGGCGGGGGGGCCCTCGGTGACACGCAGCCCGCGACCCGAAGCCCCGTTTTCCGGAGTGGCACAGTCCACAGACACCAACGGAGGGGACTTTTCCCTCCCCGCAGTCCAGGTTGCCAAGAGTCTAGGTTACAAACAGCATCACGAAAGTGTATTTGGTTCGACAGTAATATGTCAAAACATTGGTGGAATTTCAATAGTATTTCCTAAAACAATTACCACTTTTATTCCTGATTCTCTTTCATGCCATGTCATGACCAAAAGTCTTGTTTTTCGCATCTGGACTTAGGCCTTGGATTAGCAAAAAGCGAGGTTTCTTTGACCGTCTGCGTTGGAGGAAAGGTCCTGCTCCCGTCCCCACGGCCGCCCCCGGTCCGCCACCTCTCGGGGAAGCTGGGTTTTTCCCTTCCAGTTCGCCCCTTTCCGGCAGCTGCTGGAGTGGATCCTGTCTCCTCTCCTGACAGACAGTAGTTTTCCTAGGGCTCCCACACCCGCCTCTCCACTGCCGCCCGAGCCCGCCGCCCAGCTCTGGGAGAGCCGCGTCCAGGGCTGGGGACAACTCGCTGCCCATCCGCGGCTCCGGGAGTCCTTGCGGAGGAAACGGGCAGCTTCTACACTTAACTCCTGGGCCTCAGCTCAGTGACCGCTGTCCCTCCAAGAGGACAGAAGCCCCACTGTGGCCCTTCCCAGCACACGCAGGTGCCAGGCTCTGCGGCGCTCAGACCCCGCCCAGTGAAGGAAGCGAGGACTCACGTTCCCCTCTGCTTCCCCAGGTGCCGCGGGCAGCGGCCGGGCTGCCCAGCCAGACGCGCTCCCCTCGCCGCCCGCTCACCTGCCTGCAGCGCCGCCCCCGGGCTGCGCCAGGGCCCCGGCGACAGGCTCCGGTGGAAGATGTCTCGCTCACCGCACAGAGCGGAGCCTCCCCTTCTACAGACAGGCCTGCTGCTTCAAGGCCTCTCTGAGCCCTGTGGCGGGTCTGGAAGGCCACACGCGGCGGAGGCACACGTGTGATTTCCTGAGCGCCTGTCCTCGGCATGGAGACGAGCCCCGGCCCCCTCAACAGCACCCCCGCGACGCTCGGCCTGTCCCCCGCGCCGGCCAACGGGACGGGCGCGCTCGCGGCGCCCCCGCAGTACGCCGTCGGGCTCTTCCTCTCCTGCCTGTACACCGTCTTCCTCTTCCCCATCGGCTTCGTGGGCAACATCCTGATCCTGGTGGTGAACATCAGATTCCGAGACAGGATGACCATCCCCGACCTGTACTTCATCAACCTGGCGGCGGCAGACCTCGTCCTGGTGGCCGACTCCCTGATCGAGGTGTTCAACCTGGACGAGCAGTACTACGACATCGCCGTGCTGTGCACCTTCATGTCCCTCTTCCTGCAGATCAACATGTACAGCAGCATCTTCTTCCTCACCTGGATGAGCTTCGACCGCTACCTCGCCCTGGCCCGGGCCATGCGCTGTGGCCCGTTCCGCACCAAGCAGCACGCCCGGCTAAGCTGCGGCCTCATCTGGCTGGCCTCGGTCTCCGCCACCTTGCTGCCCTTCACCGCCGTGCACCTGCGGCACGCTGGCGACGCCTGCTTCTGCTTCGCAGACGTCGAGGAGGTCCAGTGGCTGGAGGTCACCCTGGGCTTCATCATCCCCTTCGCTGTCATCGGCCTCTGCTACTCGCTCATCGCTCGGGCGCTCCTCCAGGCCCACCGGCACCGGGGCCTGCGCCCCCGGAGGCAGAAGGCCCTGCGGATGATCCTGGCCGTGGTCCTCGTCTTCTTTGTCTGCTGGCTGCCCGAGAACGTCTTCATCAGCGTGCACCTCCTGCAGCGGACGCCGCCGGGGGCCGCGCCCTGCCAGTCTTTCCGCCACGCCTACCCCCTCACTGGTCACATCGTCAACCTGGCGGCTTTCTCCAACAGTTGCCTGAACCCCCTCATCTACAGCTTCCTGGGGGAGACCTTTAGGGACAAGCTGAGGCTGTACATCGAGCAGAAGACAAACATGTCGACCCTGAATCGCTTCTGTCACGCGGCCCTGAAGGCAGTCTTCCCGGACAGCCCCGAGCAGCCGGAGGTGAAGTTCAGCAGCGTGGCCTAGACAGCAGGCAGCTCCCGCCTACCCCAGCTGCCCGGGGCGAGGGGCACAGACGCGGACAGAGCACCACCACAACCCTGCAGGCCTGTGCTTGGGCTCTCGGGCCCCCCGCTAGCTGCCCAGTGCCGTTCCTGCACAGAGCTGTGCCTGCCTAGCCTGCTCCCGAGTGCAGGTCATGGGATGACAGAGGGACCTGGGGACGAGCGTGGCCCGTGTGTCCCCTCTGTCCCGTCTGCATCTTGCAGAAGACCCTGCTGATGTTGGCCACCAAGAACCAAAAAGAAGGGGCACTTTGGATGCATTGTCTTGGTGTCAAGGCAGGTCTGTGTAGACCCGCCACCTTGCGGAGAAATGAAACCTGGGGCCCGAGCTGGCCTGAACCTGGTGGCTGCCGCCACATCCACAGTCGCTAACTCGCCACGCGCTGAGCCTCCTGGTCTGCAGGCGGCCACCTCGCCCAGGCCCGTGAACAGCGCCGGGCGCTCTGGCTGCTGGGCCAGGAGGGCGCCCCTCCGGGCAGGCCCGCGCCCACCCCACCGCGTGGTGCCCAACTAGACGCGCTGTGACAGCCCATGACGGCGTCTCGGCCCCGTGCGCACAGAACCGACACCGCGGGGCCGCTCGGGCGGCACGCCGGGAGCCTAGCATGCGGGGGCGGGGCAGTGACAGCCGTGGAGACACAGGGCAGCTCACGGCTGCCAGCAGTGCCCAGCTTCAGTCACTAGACGCGTGTGCTGGTTCTTCTAGACTCTTGAAGTGGCTCCCGAATGGGGGGGCAGAACCGCCCCTAGCCCCCAGGCTTACTCGCATGAGAGCTCTCGGAGGCCAAGGCCACACGCAGCCCCCACGCACGGTGGCGCCCGGGGCCTGACAGCTGCTGCTGTGCCTTCGGGTACGACCGTCTGCGGCCCTCGCTCTTCTCGGAGGCCGCCCGCTGGCGTGAGCCGCGGGGTCCGGGCCGGCTCAAAGCACCCTCAGGGCAGTGGCCGGGGCTCCCGCCCCCATCGGAAAGCCGGGGAGGCCCCGGCCCACCCACACCGCTGGGGGCCGCCTGCCTGTGCTGTCCCCAGAATGACCCGGCTTCCCCGGGCGAGGCCCTCAAGGGTCTTCGCACAGGCAGGGCTGCCCCTCCTGGGAATGAGCCGTTTTCTGTTTTAACAGCTCTTTATGAGCAAAATCTCCAAGAAAGCAAGCATTTGTCCCGCGTGAGCATGTGCACTTACGGCGCCATCTCCGGGGGCTCACGCCCTCCCGAGGACCCACCTGCTGCACAAAGGACCGTCTCTCAGCCCCGGGTGGGCGCGCAGGCCCCTGCAACAGACCCCTCTGTGCAGGGGAGGACTTCCCAGGAGCCCCCGGCCCGCCTCTCCGGCCTCCCAGAGGGCTCTGCGGCCACGCGCCTTGCTCTCTGACAGAGCCCCCGCCCCGCGCCCTGCAGTGCCTGCCGCCAGCCCAGGCCTGTCAGAGCAGGCGGGGCCACTGCACAGGGCGTGTGCTGGGCACTGGTCCCCGTGGAGCATGGGCACAGACCGGGGCTCCGGCCTCATGCACCTAACTACACACAAGGGACTCACCAAGTGCCTGCGCCGCTCCTGCCCGGCTTGGACGGCAGTGGTGGAGACGCTCTGTGACTTCCAGCTCTGGCGGGGGGCCTGGGGCGGGGTGGGGAGACCGACCGTGAGCGGGAGGGCCAGGCCGCCTCGGATTCTGCTGAGAAGCAAGCCCAGAGGCCCATGTGGTCGGTCACTCAGACAGAGGAGCTGACGTCAGACCAGCCTGTGGCTGCTGGAAGCCTCAAGTGATGACGGCACGGCCACGAGTGGCTCCATCGCCAGTTCCGAAGCCCCAGGCCTGCCATCCACAGCCCCGCACCCCAGTCTCGCAGGGGAAGCCAGGCACAGCAGGGGCGGGGGCACCCGTCCGTCCTGGGCCCGGCCGTCCCCCGAGGCGCCTCGAACCTGCATGGGGGCAGACGCGGAGCCTCCCGGGGCCCGCAGGCGCCCCCTCCCCGTGCTGGCCGCCGCCTTCCTGCCCCCCTAGGCTGCAGCCAAGGACGCTTCCCACTGGGGTCCGGGGCCACCTCGCAGGCCACACAGGACAGACGCGTCCTCCTCGCCCTCATAAGCTGCCTACTGCTTCTAGACAGCCCGCCTTGCCACCGGGGGGTCAGCGGGCACTTGCCCCAGGCACAGGTCATACAGGCCAGACCCATCTCCTGCCTCTGACCCCTCGGAGCCCCCTTCCTGACCTGTAAACCCGGGGCAGGGCTGCTCCGAGGGCCCTTTAGACCGACGGCCGACGTGCAGGGTCGCGAGAAGGGCCAGTCAAGGCAAGGGGCCCCCGACGAGCCCGAGGCTAGGCCCGGCGGCCCTGAGCCTCATCTTCCCCAGCCTCCCAATAGCCCCCGTCCAGGAGGCAGGCGGCGGCTGGGCACTGGGTGCCGCCGGCCCGGCCTGGCCGCACACAGGCCCTGCTGAAAAGCGTAGAGGGCGGAGGCTGTGGGGCTTTGGCAGGAGCAGCACGAGACAAAGTCAAGGCTTTGACGGCTGCGCTGCTCCCAGTCGCCTGGCGGCGCCGCTTCCTCTGAGCTACGGGCTCCCTCCGACGGCGGCCCCGCCCCCGCCCAGAGGGTGCATCCCTGTCGTCCCTGTCGTCCTGGTCATCCTGTCTTTGGGAGGGCAGGCCTCCTGCCTAGAGGGAGGGCCGGGGCGAGCGAGGCCAACAGGCCTTTCAGTGGGTCCCTGGGGCCAGTGAGGCCCTTCCGCACCGCCCCATGCGCGTTAGGGGTCGGGGGCCGGTGAACACGCCGACGCTCAGGAAGCCAGAGCTCTCCGAGTGCGGATGGGAGACGCAGACCAGGGGGAGAGGGTGGCCCGGAGGAGCCATGGGCACGGGTGGGGCTGAGGTGCCAGTCTAGCTGCGCAATTTCCACAGCCAGACCACACACTGGAGTGTGGCGCGTGCATGCGTGTGCGTGCCCTGGTGTGACTGTGCATGTTTGCACACACAGTGAGCATGCAAGCACACAGCCACATGAGGGCACGTGCCCATGGCTCTTCTGCTCAGTGGGCAGAAAGCCCTGCGTGGCTGGGCCGCGGGGCCCAGGCTGTGGTCTCTCACACCTTGTCCTCGAAGAACAGCAGCTCCTGGGTGACACGGCCGGGCGGGCGGGGGTGGGGGCGCCTTGGAACACGGTGTCTGCCAGACAGAGCAGAGCTCAGCTCGACGAGGGCCACGTGGCAGAGGCACAGGGCCGCCTGCAGGCTGCCCCGGCCGGATCTGGGGCGATGAGAACATTGAGGAAACAGGGAGAGGAGAGGATGAGGGGCTGGTGGAAGGCAAGGGCCCAGGGGGCCGGTGCTGTGACGGCCAGGTGCAGCGCCCTCCTCACGGCAACGCACCAGCAGGTCCACGGGTGAGCGTCCGCGGGGTCCTGGCTCACAGTGCGGTGCTGACTGGCGACTGCCACGGTGAAGCCGGGGCGGGCAGGCAGGCCTCCAAACGCAGGCTCACCCGGGGCCGCGGCGAGGGACAGGACACCTGCAGGCCCGCGCCTGCCCCCTCACCCGCCACCTCCACGCAGGGGACGGCAGCCACGCTGCAGAGACGGCTCCGCGCCTCCCCGCAGCGGGGGCGCACCGGAGGGGAGACCAGACGCAGCCCCGGAGGGCACCACGCCTCCTCACCCTGGTCTGGGGCAGACCCTGAATCTAATCGGGGAAACCTGGAAATGCCTCAGTGGGGGCAGAGAGCTGAGTCAGCCACAATGCCGACGTCATAAAAGACAAGGAAAGGCACCGCGGTGCCCCAGGTTAGCAGGTGAGGAGATGCAGCAAACGCTGTGGCCCGGGGCCCCCACACACGTGGCTGTCTAAGCCACAGGAGCCCCGGTGGTCTCCCGAGCCAGACTGCCGCACCGCGGTGGCCCAGGGCCCACACCCAAAGACGGACGGGCATGCCCCGGGCGCACACGCCAACAGCAGAGTGCGCAGGACACAGCCTGGGCAAGGCCCATGCTGTGCCAGGCACAGACCCCAGACCAGGGACAGCCGCTCAGACAGGCACCCGCACACAAACGCTCGTGGCAGCGCCATTCCCAGCAGGTGACGGGGCGCCGACCCCCACAGCCCCAGCGGACGTGTGGTCTGCGCGCAGCACGGACCGCTCCTCAGCCGCGAAAGGGACTGGGCGCCACGGAGGCCCGGGGACATGGTGCGCAGTGAGAGCGGGGCACGGGGCGACCGCGCCCTGCGGGTTCCGTGTGTGCGGAAGGCCCAGAGGAGGCGGGTCACAGAGCCGGCCCGCCGGCAGCGGTCCCTAGGGGCCGGGGGTCGGGAGTGACTGCTCGTGGGTACCGGGTGTCTTCTGGGGGTAAGAAAACCCTCCAAAATTAGAAAGCAGTGATGGTTATATAACTGTGAATATACTAAAAACTACTGAAGCGCACATGTTAAAAGGATGACTCTATGGTAAATTACATCTCAATAAAGCTGTCGTTCAAAAACAAAACATCAGGCCCATTTCTCCTCCAGCAGCTGCCCTGTGGGGACAGGCTGGGGCCCTCTCCCCCGCCCCCGCCCCGGGCGGAGGCGCGGGGCTCACTGGCAGCCGCAGTCAGGGCGGGGAGACTGCGGATGCCTGCACCCCGGAAGCCGCCCGCTGACGCCGACGGCATGTCTCCTAACTGAAGTTCGCCCTCCTTAGTTACTGCCTAGGAATTTGAGCTTCCTTTGCTCCTCCACAGTCGGAACTAATCACCTGGGGTGCCTTCTGACACGCTTTTCAACTAAAAGTGGAAAGAAGAACTTCAGTGAGAGTCACAGCTGGATTCAGGAACCCGGCCCCAGGACCCCCACGAAGCCGGAGGGCCGGAGGACTCGCCCTCGCCCCCGCCCCCGCCCGCCCCGCGCCGCCCACGGCCCTGGGCCATCACCCACTGGGCCGCCGCGAGCAGAGCAACGCGGGGCATGGGGCGCGGGGCAGCTGACCCCTCGCTACTCCTG